GCTGCGCCAAAGGCCCTCCTAGCATGGTATCCAGTCCGTGCCTATCTAGCTCTATGTCTAAAACGGGTTGGGTTTGGATCAGGCACGGTTCTGGATAGTCCACGTGCATCCATAACCGTGCCTATCTAGTTCTTATTAAAATGCAATGATAATGTATGATATCCCAAAACTTAGCTGCTGCGCCAAAGACCCTCCTCGCGTAGTATCCAGAACCCTGTCTATCTAGGGTTGGGATAAGGCCCGGTTCTGGATAGTCCATGTGTATCCATATCTAGTTCTTTTTAAGTGCGATGATAATGTATGATATCCCAAAACTTAGCTGCTTTGCCAAAGACCCTCCTCACGTAGTATCCAGAACCCTGCCTATCTAGGGTCTGGATCAGGCACGGTTCTGGATAGTCCATGTGTATCCATATCTAGTTCTTTTTAAGTGCGATGATAATGTTTGAGATCCAAAAACTAGCTGCTGCGACAAAGGCCCTTCTCACATGGTATTCAGAACCCTGCCTATCTCTAGGTCTATGTCTGAAACGATTACGATTTGGATCAGGCACGGTTCTGGATAGTCCACGTGCATCCATACCCGTGCCTATCTAGTTCTTATTAAAATGCAATGATAATGTATGATATCCCAAAACTTAGCTGCTGCGCCAAAGACCCTCCTCACGTAGTATCCAGGACCCTGTCTATCTAGGGTCTGAATCAGGCACGGTTCTGGATAGAACATGTGTATCCATATCTAGTTCTTTTTAAGTGCGATGATAATGTTTGAGATCCAAAAACTAGCTGCTGTGCCAAAGGCCCTTCTTACATCCAGAGGTATCCCAAACAAACCGTGCAGATCTAGCTCTATGTCTAAAACGGTCAGAGTTTGGATCGGGCACGGTTTTGGCTAGTCCACGTGCATACATAACCGTGCCTATCTAGTTCTTATTAAATGCAATGATTGATAATGTATGAGATCCAAAACCTAGCTTGCCACTGCGGCAATGGACCTCCTCGCATTGCATCCACTGAGAACCGTGCCTATCTATAGCTACTAGTAGTAATGCATGAATGTGTTAGGGTTAGTACCAGACACGGTTCCGTGTCTCCGTGTATCCAAGAACGCAGAATAAATTTGCCCTAGGAACGGTTCTGGATACGTGTGGACTATCCAGAACCCTGCCTGAGCATTGGTCCCGGATGAAATATGGTTCTGGACACTCAACCAACGCGTTAACTGTCCAGAAACGTTCCTGCTGTGCACGGTTCTGGATGCAAAAATTCCAAACCTAGCTCGCGCTACAATGGCCTACATAACACTCAGACCGTGAAGTCTTTATTCTCTGCATCAAACCCTTAAGACATCAAGGTGCACCGCCAGTTACTTTAGCTTTATGAATAAAAGTTTAAGAATAAGAGAAGAGAGACGTATATGTTTGTAACTTCTCCTCGACTCGCCGACGCGTCATCAATCATCACCATGACAACCGTGACTGATGCACTCATTTGTCGTTATCTAAACAATTAGCGACGCCCCCTGGTGGCGGGGCCGCGGCATTGCAGTTATATGGATAACATCAACGCGTGCATTCATTTTCAAAAAGAGAATTATATGGATGACATCATCGCGAATTGATCTTCACCTGATTTTGAAAAGAAAAAAAAGAAGTCGGTGGGGTCGTGTGGCGTAACGGCAGAGTGCTCGACTTGGAACAAAGAGTTCGAGTCCTGACATGCCACCGATCTTGTGCCCTTGGAAAAGGCACTTTACACGACTTCCTTACTTAACTCAGGTGAACATGAGTATTGTTCAGCCCTGTATTTGTCCTCCATGTTGGTGGCGGCATAAAATAAGTTAAAATAACATGAGTGTGCCGTCACCATGTCTATTCATGAAATGTTGGAATTAAAAAAAAAAAAAGAAGAAGAAACGTCGTCCCTCATTAATCCGATGAAGTTGTAGAAGTGGTGAGGTAGCCGCGGGTATACATGTAGTTGCAGCGGTGAAATTAGTTCCGACGTTGTAGAGGTGAAGCAGCAACAGTTTGTGTACAATGTAGTTGAACCCTAAACCATTCAGGCATAGAATTAGATAGGCACGGTTCTGGATACAATACGCAGGACCTGACATACGGTGGATGGCAGCAACACATCACACAGACTTCAGCACCAAGGACAGGGAAGATGCAGAATTCAGGCAGAGAACTAGATGGGCACGGTTTGGGGGAAACTCCTTCACTGAATTTCTGTGTGCACAGGATTTTTTTACCCTGTGATTTCAATTTTAACTATCATCATCGTCATCATCGTTCGGTTGCGGTGCAGTTGACCACTAGCCCTTTCCACGATTGACTATTACGAAAAACGTTGAGTTGCATTAACAAATTTTACAAAGTTCAAACATTCAACATGAAATGTACTTTCCTGCACTCACTGGGTCAGTCTACTGAGGAAGACCAGAGTGACTGGTCGAAAGCTCTAGGTGAGAAGACTTCTTTGTGTTGGATAAAAGAATTACTTTAAACATGAAATGTCCTTGTTGTGGCCTAATGTAGACTGGTGTCGCGTGTGAACGGCGGGCCGTCGCCTTGATGGACCAGAAGATAGCCGCGCGTTCCGAGCCGCCCATTCCGTGCCGGGCTGATGAGATGACGCGCGAGATCGTCTCCCTTACTTCCCGGGTCGGGCGACACAAAATGTACAGTTTGGGCCACCGGGGAATTGATGGTATCTGCTCGATATCCGCGGCTGAAAGGTTGGATGGTATATACATGAACTTTATTGCACGACAATCGCACACGGTTCAATGTATGGCAACGAACTATCCATAGTACAAAAAATGTGGAATAAAACTTCACATCCTATTTATAAGGTTTCTCAAATCCGATGTACTAATATTCCGCAACAGATTCTTTCGCAATATTTGGATCCGTCTGTATTCATGAACATATTTTAACTATTATTATTTTGTGTATTTTATCTGTATGTTGGCGACACAAAATGTACAGTTTGGGCCACCGGGGAGCTCAGATCATATCGGCTCGATACTCAATGCTGAAAGGTTGGGTGAAGCACGGAGGTAGAACGAATTCTGCCTCCAAGGGTGAATGGAGGAAATATGCATGAAAACTTCTAGGCCAGAATCCCCAGCATGAAATCACGTCGTGTTCTTGTGAAAAGCACTTTTCAACAATTTTTTGTCAAGTTAAGATTTTATTGGGAAAGGAACTGGTTAGCCCGAATCGCACCCTACATACAATATGCTTCATAAAAACTATAGAGACACTATAATATCCGATTCATATTAAAATGTCGACTTCATATTTTTAATAGTGAAAAGAAATAGAAGAAACACAATCAAGTGTAACAATAACACAGACATCCCCTGCTAGCATGCTTCCCGGGTCTGCGACACAAAATGTACAGTTTGGGCCACCGGGAAGGTGATAGTATCTGGTCGATATCTAATGCTGAAAGGTTTGGGGAGAAATATGCATGAAAACTTTATTGCACGACAGTGTCCCCATCAGACTCGATGCTCGAGTTCCTGTATTATGCTGTTCCTGTATTATGCTGTTCCTGTATTATGCTGTTCCTGTATTATTCTGAGTGTTGTTTTAACATTTGAAATATTTATGTACATTGATATGTAAAACAACTACTGTAATAAACTCATGCAATTCAGGGAAGACACATACATGTCTGTGTATATTTGAATTCTAGTATAAATGATAAAGAAACAACCGTATATGGTACAATCTATGGCAACAACTATTGACCATAGTACAAACAGGTACAGAATAGAATTTTACATCCTAATTACTAAATCAATAAGGGTTTGTTTGTAAAGTTTTACTACTTTTCTTGTATAATCTGAAAATGTTGCTCCCAGCTTTAGAACGTCGTTTTGGGTGGAACCTAAACCTGAGGGTCCCGTATTTAAGAAGAACCACGATTTGAGCACGTTAAAGAACTCACCACCAAACTTATAGAAAGGAATAAGCTCCATCACGAGTGGTTCAAACCGTACAGTCCGGTCGATTGCTTGAATATAGTAGAAATTGTCCAAATAGACTGGATAATATGTAAGGGTGTGTGCGAAGTATACTCCCATTGCCGGCTAACTCATCTGGAATATACCTCAGTCTATTTGCCCAATTTCTACTATATTCCAGTAACCTATTGGAGTCTAGTATGGGCTACACACACACTAGAAAACATATGAAGACCAAATGCTACGAAGTCAAGATACCGGGTTGGTTTGTATAACTTTGTAACGAACGAATTTTAAGCTAAATCAGGCTACTTCGGTGATAGATGGAAAAACTGTAATAACCAGGAAGAAAGTAACTTTTTTTCAACTGTTGGGCCAAAATATTATCATTCTGGAGTTGATTTAGAACCTAATCTTTCTGCAAATATAACAAAAATTACCCTGGCAAATCTAAAAACCAATTGAAAACATGAAGTTGAGTTCGGACTGGCTAGAATGATTTCTCATTGAGACAGGTCTGTAGGAATCTCAACACTTTGTAATAACACTGCGCAATAACTCCACACTATAAGGCGTACACTGCTGACAGAAGTAACACCTGTGACGGGGGTAGGGGAGTGCGTATGTCTGTTTCCATCCATCAAAAATCTTTAGCTCGCTGTCTGATGATTTTGACAAGTTGACAGGTAGATTGCAGCGAAGTCTCTTTCTTTCTAACCTTTTGACTTTTAGAACAACTTCTAGTAGAACGTCTGACCGTTACGAGAGCTACGAACTCCCTGTTGTGTATATATGAGTGAAGGCGAGTATTAAACGTCTTTTCAAACTTTGATAGACTGGTATCATTTTTTCTGCCACTAGTTGAAGGCCGAGTATCAAATGAAAAAGTCAAAAGACCTGTTGAGTCTTGTCAAACCTCTGTTATGTGTTCGGTTGACGTACTGTACAATTTCTACTGTTGTCTCAGACGAGAAAGTTAATAAATCTTAATATCACATGTGATGCGGGTTCCGAAGTAGATACTCATATGAAGGTACAGACTTGCTGGATATTGACCATTGTTTTTATGTGTATAATACTTACTTATGTGTGAAATACGTAATACTAGTGTAATAGCATACCAAATGATACAATTATCATCGTGTACTACATTTGTATATACATATTGATTAGACAATATTTCAATTATTAAATGGTTGAAGGCTGTGTTTATATTTGATCCACTATTTTATCTTAGACAAGAAAATACAACACTCTTAAATCCGGTATCAATACTGAAAATAATTGACTACACGTCAAAGTTTGTACATACAACAGCATTCGATGAGTATAGGAGGTTTCTGAAGCTTCAGCTATAACTGAATAGAAACTAGTACGGAGGCATTGATTTAAACCTAAACAAATAAACTCTCTACAGTAGCTCTGTGGTAGAAAGATTAGATGGAAGACATGTTGCCTCCGCATTTAATTGCAGGACTTGTTAAAAGCTTCATAGATAGTAATGATGCCCTAACTGTGCATGATGGCAAAGAGTTCCTCACTACGATAGTTCTTGGAAAAAAATACGTCAGGTTTTCAACACGTCAACTCTTGGTTGATAACTCTGATATTTGAAGGCATGACTGTTTCTTGTTCTTTTCTTATTAGTAGGACACGTAGTTGAGGGGGAAGTTGGGCATGTCCGCCCTCGCCGCGGCCCACATGACGAACCCCACGACTGTTCCTCCCGCAAACATGGCGGCCACGGCAAAGAACGAGATGACCACCAGTAGCGCCGTGCCGGACAGACCGTGGCCACTGGAACATAGATAGGAAACACGATATGAGTTTAACACAACGTCGACAAAAATTTTATACCTTTGTGCCCGTGGTCTAGAGTTATGAAGTGAGAATGCACCTATACCATTATTACGTCACAGTTTGTTTACCTGTTCTAAAGAACATTCTAGAACGGTCAGTTAAAGAATAAGGTTATCACAAAGTTTTCAAAGTCAGGTATGTTTGATTTTTGCTGCGTCTAGTTTTGTTGACACAGCATTACATGCCGTAATGGATGATTTAGTTGTGACAGTAGATGAAAGTAGTACTGTATAAAGGCCTTATATTAAGGCAAACACACACCGCGCTACGCACCCCTGTACAATGTAAACATCAATTGACCGGCATTCATTGTGGTAAACAAATTGTGACGTAATGATGTTATAGGTCCAATGGAAGCAGTTTAGTGTCATGATATCACGACCAAGTCGTTGTTTATGTTAGCACATTGTAGAAAAAAATTCTGAGGTACATGTGCTCACCTTGTACACCCAGCCCCCAGCCGGGCGCCAAACAGCATGACGAGGCCCCCGAAGAACCCGGACGCCATCGACACGCTCTTCACCGTGCCCAGGGTCTGGGACGAGGCTGCCGAGATCAGAGCACCGACTACTGCTCCCGCCACATACACCACCTGGGGAAATAGATAATAATAAATTTTGGGGTCGTGTGGCGTAGCGGCAGCGTTCCCGACTCGGAACCAGAGGCCCCGGGTTTGAGTCCTGACATGCCACCGATCCTGTGCCCTTGGGAAAGGCACTTTACACGACTTTCCTCACTTCGCTCAGGTGTAAATGAGTATTGTACTGTCCCTGTGTTGGTGGCGGCATTAAAATAAGTTGATAAAACTTGAGTGTGTCGTCACCATGTCCTGTGATTACATGTTTAGGAATATAAAAAATAGATAATATATTTTCATTTGATGAAATACCACTCGCTATAGAAACTCACCAATCCCCTACATCTGTTGAACAATAACGGTCAATAGTTACCCCCTTCTTTACCATCCTTACATACCTTGAATTTAAGAAATATGTGTAACAGTTGAAGTTTGGGCATGTACCAGAAAATATTTGTATCACATGAGCTAACTCAACGGTTCTTCTAGTCGTAATTTTTAACAGTTGTAGGTAATAGTATGTGCAATTATTGTGTTCTATGTAATGTTCCTAATGTATCTGTATTTTTATTAACTTCATTATGTGCAATAATATAAACTTTTAGATTATTCTAAATGAAATGTACATTGATTCGCAATTCCGTAACTTGTACTCAAAGTTTACTGCGAGTGATCAATAAATCATTCTTGAGTCTTGAGTGAAAAAACAGAACAGGAGAGTCACATCTTGTTCAGAATCATGCCTACCTAGATCTATACCTGGATGGGTTTGGCTTACGCACTATTCTGGACAGTCTCCGCGTATCCAAGAACGTAGATTTGCCACAAACACGGTTCTGGATACGCCTGAACTTTCCAGAACTTTGTCTGAGAATGATTCTGGATAAAAGACGTACGGTTCCGGACACTAGGCTAGCCTCCGTAGCAGGCTTATAGAACTGGGGGTTTGGTGGTCTTCGGCTGTTTTCTGATTAGCCCAGTTCTAAAAACGGGGGTAATTCAACCAGGTCTATATGCAATCAGAAAATAGCCAATAAAATCTCCGAAAGACCATGAAGACCCCTAAAACCCCCAGTTTTTGGCATTCTATGGAGGCTACATCAAGGCGTGCACCAATGATTTTCAATGCAGTACACCCTAATCTCGCGAGGTGGCGCCGCGTATCATGCGTGTCATTTTCAGAGGGCTGTTTCAGACGGGACGTTTTCTCTGGTATATAATCCTCATCAATAAGGAACAATTTTTTTTTTATTCCAACATGTAATCACCAGACGTGGTGACGGCACACTCAAGTTTTTTCAACTTATATTAATGCCGCCACCAACACAGGGGACAAATACATGACAGGACAATACTCATTTTCACCTGAGCAAAGTGAGGAAAGTCGTGTAAAGTGCCTTTCCCAAGGGCACAAGATCGGTGGCATGTCAGGACTCGGACCCGGGACCTCTTGGTTCCGAGTCGAGCACTCTGCCGCTACGCCACACGACCCCACTTGTTATTTGTGTCAGGGCTGCTAAAAGCATGATGTAGTCAAGCCTCGATATACCTGATGATCAGAATGACAATTTATCCATTCCCCCAAGAAGTGTGTCTGTCCTTGGTGCTGAACGCCATCCCACATGCACTAGAACACACTAGGTTTCTCTGCTACAAAGGTGAGTGTGGATATAGGTATATCTGTATCTGTATAGCTGGTATAACCGCCCTTCGGCGTAACCCCAACTTCGCAGGCACGCTGGCTGTCTTACGCTGGCTATCTAATTTTTTTTTATAATGCCCCCACTGTGATTGGTGACAGTGAGTTCCACTTTGCGATAGTTCTAGGAAGGACTGAGCTTTTGAACACCTCAATCCTCGGTTGATAACTCTGGTGCTTGAAAGATAAGTATTTCTTGTTCTTTTCTGGGCTGGTATCAGATACTTAGTAGTTGGTACGTCCACCAGTTTATTAGCCATGTTGTACATCATGCACAGTCTGGACATTCTACGTCTGTCTTCCAGCGACCCCCACTGTAGGTTTCTTTTCATTTCCGTTACACTAGCACCCCCTTGGTAGTTGTTCGTGCAGAATCTTGCAACTTAGTTCTCTACCCTTTCCAGTTTATCTTTATACATGTATACCTGTCCTTGGTGCTGAACGCCATCCCACGCTAGAACACACTAGATTTCTCTGCTGCAAATGTGAATACATGGATACAGGTTAGACGCACTACTTGTCTCTCCTACCTGCCACCAGTTTCCGAGGCCGCTCCTGTACCTGCTGAGCCTGTGGCGTCTAACTACCAACATGAGCTTAGGATTTTTTTTTTTATCTCGATGAAAACTAGCCTGGTATCCAGTCTGATCGTGGTCGGGGCCGTAAGAGCTCGGGGCCGTAAGAGCTCTGGCCCGCCTGCCTCACATAGGTTTCCCGGTGTGTATTTCACGAGAGATCAATTAGCCCTCGTGTTGGGGAGAAACCAAATCCCCAAGCATACTGTCTCTGATTAGCGTAACACTCCTACCGGGACGGTCTGTTGCACTGGACGGGGGAAGCTCTTAGAGCCCCCGAAGACACAACCTGCCAATACCCCCAATCACGATCAGACTGGATACCAGGCTAGATGAAAACTAGATAGACTTTATAACTGGCATGAGGATGTTTGTTCTAAGTCCACTGTTGCAGGAAGTATGCCTGTACTTGGTGCCGTATGTCATTCACACACCTTTGGTGTATACACATTTATGGTAAGTTTACTGCTAAACTGCTTAAACTCTACAATTAAAGACAGTGTGTTATTGGCCTGGGTGGATAACTCTTGTGGACAGTTTAGTTGCCCCGACGGCAGGACAGACTGCTATGGGACCGGTGAGGTGAGGTGAGGAGGAGGTGTTATTGGTGCCCGGAAATCTTGTTCATCTCTTACCTGCCACCAGTTGCCGAGGCCGCTCCTATACCTGCTGAGGTACGGGGACATCTGCCGGAGCCTGTCCGTCACCAGGACCTGAGACACCACCGTACAGTAACTACTGCTGCCGCCTAACGTGTCGCCTACACTCAGGGTGATTACAAGCTGCAGCAGGCCTATCAGGATTCCTGCAGCAAGGAGGGAATGCGCGTTAGATTGTATAGGAGCGCACGTAACACCTCTGTTATATTTGTCACCGTCACTAAGACTTGGGACACCACCGTACAGTAACTACTGTTGCCGCCTAACGTGTCGCCTACACTCAGGGTGATCACAAGCTGCAGTAGGCCTATCAGGATTCCTGGACAGAGAGGATGGGGCGTTAGACAATCCAGGACCGTAACTACTAGTAATCCTAACCCATTCAGAGGTCTGTTAGGGAGCTGTCTGGCCAGATTTACTCCACGCCTACCCTTCTTCACGAATCTTATCGCATCACACACCGACCATTACTGACCTACCCCAGAACACAAGCCAACCGTGGCCCAACCGCCCCTCCACATCCAAATGTTGAAACATTCGGCTGGCTCGTCCGAACCCTAGCCGACCTCGCCGAAAACTAGCCAACCATAGCCAATCTAGCTAATAGTCTACTCCTAACCATGGTTCGGCAGTGTTTGGGAGGCCTAATATAATTAGGCTATGTGTGACAGCTAGGGGCTCCTTGACAATGAACAATTTCTTACCTCCTATCCACGGCGGCCACGCTCTCAGGCTCATGAAGCACGTCCAGTCTCCGCCGTTTGGTACCTGCAGGAAGGAAATGGTGTCATATTTCTAAAAATGGTGTCATATTTCCGATGTGTGAAATTTCTGTGAATAGTGACGAGGCCGACATTGTTTACCAGATACATTTGTATTGACGACAGTATTGACGAAAAACTTCAGAAAAAGTTTTGTTGTCCTTACCGGTACACACGCCACAGCACTAGTGTTGACATGTCTGTACTCGCACAGCTCGCTCTGCCACGGTCGGACCCACTCCAGGCCGAAGATGATCAGGGCGAGGGCGAGCGTCATGGCGAGAGACAGGGCGGCGTAGGGGAGGGGGACCCAGTCGTCAACGCTGTACGAAACAGAGCACAAAAATAATGAAGTTAGCACTTTCGTTCAACACAGGCAAACCATAATGCTTATGCTGAGGTCACATTTCCAAGCTTAAGCCGGGGCCCGGTAGGACAGTTTCTGGGAATAAAAAGTGTGATATAAAAGACATAAAAACACAAAAGATTTGCAACAACTGATTTTGAGCACTATCTGTCCATATTCTTAATATGAATCGTTTATTTTTCGTTCAAGTAAACAGTTCGGCCGGGTACCGGCTTGGAAATGTGACCTGAGCATTATGTCGAATTTTCAGTCGCACAACCGTCGAGTCGGACTGTCTTTCTTTAAGTAATCTTATTACTATAAGCTTACAGAAAGTTTTACATGTATGTCGACACAACAGGGGTACAGCGACTTTCGTAAGGTCTCCTGCGAACAAACAAGTAGGTACAAATTAACCTTCATTCAGAACGTTATGAATGATCACAGTACAACTACAATGGTGCACAACAACGTACTGTTTCTTCTTGTACGGTCCTATGGGTCTGGTGTAGCGAACCACCCATGGTTAAAGAAGCTAGAAGTTCAAGGGTTAGGTGTAACAAGTCGATCGGTGTAATGTAGCCAGCTGCCGCCGCGCCGCGTGCCTGCGAAGCTGGTGTATTACGCCGAAAGGCGGTTATACCGGCTATACAGATACAGATACAGATACAGATGCTTCCACCGCTGCTTAGAGTGTTACACCCACCAGAACACAGACAAAATCAACTACAGCTACAGCAGACGAACTACAACTATGAACTGCAGCTACGACAAACAAATACAGCGAACAGAGTAACGTACTGTCTCTTCTTGTATGGCCCTGCGGGTCTGGTGTACCGAACCACCCACGGTTCCACCGCTGCGTACAGCGCCACTCCAACCAGGCAGCCGAGCAGCGTCAGGACTGGGTGGAATAACAGGTTACCAACATTCATCAGATATGGAATTTTACAGTTTAAAACATGGTAGACACAAATAGCTGTTCGTTTACAAATTAAAATGCCCATGCGATTCCACAACAAGTTGCTTGAAGGACAAAGCCTGCTACCCTACTTTTTACATACTTTTTTCGTCTAGTAGTATCTGCCACACCAAAATCAAGATTACATAGTATTACACATACACACACACACAAACACACACACACACGCACACACACACACACACACACACACATACACACACACACACACACACACGCACAAACACACACACACATACATAAATACATATAAAAACATGCATTCACATACACCCAAACAACACCTTTGACTTCATTTTCCGTTATAAAGCTTTTATTAAGTTTAATACATCCAGATTTCCCTTACGTGCAGCTCCGTTCCCCACGCCTGCCCCGACCTGCGCCAACACCATCCCCGGACACTACAGGGGAGAGAAGCACGGAGAAAATATTAAGATTAATCGTAAATCAAAAAGACTAAATTTGTCTGTAAATAACGGGATAGTAGCAACTTAAAGGTACATACATACAGAAAGGTGCCTAACGGTACAGTATTGTGTGCAATTTGCAAGAATTCTAGGAATTGTACAGGAATTTTGTCCTCAGGAATGTCTCCCAGCTCTGTTTGCAGACCCATCATACTCTTATTAAACTTTGACCTCTCTTAGCATGGTGGGAAACAAAATGGCGGTGCCCATGGACGCGAACTAAAAAAGGAACAGGATTCACAAATAAACATACCACCCCGCTTATGGTCATCCTCATGCCCAGTAGCGTCACTCCCACCATACACACACAAAATAAGCAAAAAATGTCGACCCTCATTCCCATCATACTTAAACTTTGACCTCTCTTAGCATGGTGGGAAACAAAATGGCGGCGACCAACGGATGCCAACTAAAATAGAACAGTTACTAGAAGATTCTTCCAACAGTGACAAGTTTGAAGGGTAAATATACTGACCTCCAAATTTTTATCTCAGTATCTTTACCCTTCAAACTTGTCACTGTTGAAAGAATCCTCTAGTAATTGTATCTATACGTGACAAATGAATCTCTTCAACGATAAAATAGAACAGGTTTCACAAATCAACATACCGCCCCACTGATGGTCATCCCCATCCCCAACAGCGCCCCTCCCACCACGCTCGTCACCACGCCCTTCTCCTGGTGGTCGATGAAGACATGGCGGATCTCGTGGAACACCGGCCGCGTCACGGGCAACGTTGCCATGACACCCAGGCACAACAAACCCGTTGCCATGGCAGCCAGGAACGCCTTCATCATGATGAACCGCTGGTACACGAACTGGTCACGGATGACGTTGGGCTCGAAAACTGGAACAGAAAAAAGCATAATTTGCCCTGTTCACATTATCACCGTCTGCGTATTTGTAAGCTTTGGCGCTGTATCTGCAACAGCCTGAAAACATGAATTTCTAGACGAACTAATCAGTGATGACGTTTTGCTCAAAAATCGTGATAAAACAGTGCACCCCATTTCCAGTCCTTGATCTTTTGCCCTCCCATCATTCTGCTGTCAATCTTCCTCCAACTCACATGCGGTCAACCTACACTGCCCGGAGAAACACCAACAACTCAGCCACCCCAAAACTATAACAATTGGCGACGAAATAAGGCCATGTTGATTTGATTATATGGATGACATCTTTCGGGAACCCCAAAACTGATGCGCGCGTGCGAATAAAAAAAAGTTTTGCAAAAAAAAAGTTGTTTTTATTATGAAATGTACGTGGTCATGAAGGTTGAACAGATGGCACAGAATATGGTTTGGCGAATAATCTACTCTTCGAATTCATTTCTTTACAATTTCGTGTTTTTTCGTTTGATTTTGGCATTCTACGACATTGGTATGTTTTTTTTTCTTGTAACTTAGTATATTTTTGCTCATTTTGCAACTGTTTTGTACGATCTACAGTATGGTTGAAAACCTTTTTTTTTTTGAAACGGCCGAAAATTCATGCGCGCGCGGATGTCATCCATATAATCAAATCAACATGGCCTAACCTAATATACATAGAAATTATCTTTCATTGTTTTGTCTACCGTAACCCCTACAATGTGAATAGTACATTCCATCAAAATCATTTGTTCTTTTATCGCACAAGATTACTCTGTTACTTGCACAACTTGCTTCGTTCAAACAAGCACTGAGAAAACATTCTATGAGAGAGCTTATGGTTACAAATGTGCAGGCGGTCTATGTACAATGCGCCGCATATCAAGTATAATTAGGTACAACTGCTCACTGTACCCTTCATGTGTATAGTTAAGCGTAATGTAGAGTGTACATGTAGAGTTGAAATATTCTCTAGCCAGTAGTCCTTTATAATACTCAGATACAATGTCAGATACAATGTCCGTTGACCATATATATAGCATTATGTTAGACACCTACCAACTAGTAATCTTATTATTTGCCATACATTGTACCCGTGACAATCGTTGTGCAGTAAACTTTGACTTTTATCAAGTTCTACATGCAGCCCAATATATCACGTATTAAGTACAGTTGAATACAGTCAAACCTGCACAAGTGAACGGACAAACTCTATATTTTGACAACATTTCAGTAGTCCCCTTGATAATTTTCCCATTTACACGAGCATTAAGAACCCTGTCTAGAGTGACCACTTGTCCACATAGACAACATTCTAAAGGCCTACTGAATGGTTAGTCTCTACCAGACTAACTACGCTGGCTATATAAAGAAGAATAATTGCCAGGGGAGTTTGGCCGCCTTGTAGGTTTGATTGGCCGCGCAGGGAAAAAACTAGCTCCCCGCGGCCGGACTCCCTTGGCCAATTTTACTCTCTATTTTTGCCGAATTCTACCGTCCGTATTCCGGTAGAAAGGCCTGGTGGAGGCTACTGAATGGCGGCCTTGGGTAGGTTTATTTTGAGTGCTTTTAAAGCAAGATCCTCTGTTCACAGCGATCGAGTTACGCACTCAACTGATCAACCATTCAGGCTCAAGGCCGTCCTTAAGGTCAAAGGTGAACGTCCGTCAGGTGGTTGAACTTTTGTTGTTTTTCGAAAAAATGTTGACTCACGGTGGCTAAGCAAGAATATCGAGGTGAACGTTTGAGTGAACTTGGGTAATGGTTATTAGAAATAGTATATTATTTATTTATCACACTGTATATTCAAGTCCATAATTGAGGCATCCAATGCGATTTCAGGGCAGCAAAACTGGAAATATTCAAGGCAATATTTGTGATATGGACACATGCTGCTTCATATTAGCACATTTGAGTCAGTATTTCATACTCTACTAATTCATTTTCTGGGTGGTACCCTAAAAATCAGCCAAGGGCCCTTCCAGTAACCATTTTCTGTCGAATTTTGGGAATCTTTGCTCCATGAGGGTCAATATACATTGGGATACTGTGGTTTCAACTCAGTATGTAGGTAAGAGACTAGGATATTGACTTTGAAAAATCGGGTTTCCAGGCCCTAAAAACTGCACTGATGCCTTTAACGTGTCGTTAAGTAAATCATATGGACGTAAAATAAGTCACCTTTGACGTAAAGTGTAACTGCTACCACTGGCCTAGTTTTTAAATGGCATTTGCTTCTCTGTCTCAATGTTTACAAAGTACTTAAAACCGACAATACAATACATGTTTGTGCGGTACCAATATTACAACACCACAGACCATGTAATATAACGTTACGAGGACATACGTACGTCTTTCATCGGGGCCCTGAATTACACACGTGCACGATATAAGGAGTTAGTAAAAGACAAACTAGCTGGTGTATACACTGAAATTCTCTGGTACTGAGCATTGTACAACAAAAACTCGCATACAAAGGGAAGACATGTAAACTATGGGCTTGATGATAGCATATTTGCATTATACGTTGGACTGTTTTGTAACGATACATGTAGCTTAATTAGTTATCTGTCTCTCTGACTGTATTAAGCTCTAACACACAAGGCTACTGCTTAGGTATAGCTCCTACACACAAGGCTACCGTTTAGATTTAACTTCAACACACAAGTACCGTGGCCGACAAGAACAAAATTTTACACCGCAACTTTTGGTGTTTTACACCGCAACTTTTGGTGTTTTACACTGCAACTTTTGGTGTTTTACACTGCAACTTTGGGTGTTTTACACTGCAACTTTTGCTGTGTTTTACACTGCAACTTTTGCTGTGTTTTACACTGCAACTTTTGCTGTGTGGAAAACTTACACCCCTCCCCTTTTATAATGGACGGTCCCCCTGTCAGGTCAAAGGTGACAACGATGGCATGCAAACTACGTCGACTGAGTTATCCTTTTCGTGCATAAGTTTTTTAGAGGAAAAGCTTGGCTACGTTGTGACGTTAGTTTTTTTCTAAAGGTTTTTCTAGCTTTGGCCTATAGACCGGGATAAATTTAAAAATGTTTCGACCAGGTCCAGTGATTACAAATTATGTTGCTTTTTGCTGCCATGCGTCAGAACAAATTTATCAAGGACGTCAGATATCCAGCTCCAGACATCAACAGCAATGACATAAATTTTCTGCAGGTTAGTTCATTATTATTGGGTATGGGCATCGTTTTTCTTCTAGACGTCAGCTTGTGACTTGTCGCCGCCATCTTTGTCACCTTTGACCTGACAGGGGGACCGTCCATTATAAAAGGGGAGGGGTGTAAGTTTTCCACACAGCAAAAGTTGCAGTATAAAACACAGCAAAAGTTGCAGTGTAAAAACACCAAAAGTTGCAGTGTAAAACACCAAAAGTTGCAGTGTAAAACACAGCAAAAGTTGCAGTGTAAAACACAGCAAAAGTTGCAGTGTAAAACACAGAAAAAGTTGCAGTGTAAAACACCCAAAGTTGCAGTGTAAAACACCAAAAGTTGCGGTGTAAAACACCAAAAGTTGCGGTGTAAAATTTTGTACTTGTCGGCCACGGTACACAAGGCTACTGAAAACATACAGTACAAGAGGGGCAGATGCACGACAAACGCAAGAATGTCAGGGTCGGCATGTTTTGGAACGACAACAAAGACTTTAGGTATGTAGAGGCTTAAGGCACCGGCCTATCTAAGCCTGCGTCATTGTTTCCGATATGGACACTGAGAAGGGCCCATTTACTATTATAATGTTCATTCGTGTTAGTTGTTGTATCTAGGTTCTTGAATGGATAAAACGGTACACTTGTTACGACAATATGTTCCTAGATTTGTTAGCACGTCAACCGTGTAACCTGTATGTTGCTATACTTGAATGACCCTGACCTCTTTCCTTATAACCGCAAATCCCAATGAGAAGCGACCAAGAAACCAGTTTGAGGATTAGGTGAATAAAAACAAAGGTTCAAACAAGCAAGTAAACAATCAAGCAAGCAAGTTTCTCACCTCTCGTCTTCTCCAGGGCGATGCCGAACAGAATTCCTCCCAAGAAACAAGCCACGATCTTAACACAGACGTGCCACCACTTCCCCTGTTCCTTAAGATCGCTCTCCAACCCCGCTTTCTCACAGGTGGTGTCTTGAGGGTCAGCCTCGTCATTCTTCTTCTTCTCTGCTTCCCTGGACAACTCGTACTTTTTCTTCCCCATGTCGACTTTAACGTCGGTTGTTGGTGACAAACTTGTTTCCTGATCGGGTGCCCAGGCTTCTACCGGTGGCTTCTCCTGGTGACCCTGCCGGTCTGAACCCTGTGTCTGCATGGCCACGCCCACTCTTGTTATCTTAACCAATCAGATTCGCGCTTGTAATTATGATTGACAGGACGATAGGACAAGACAAGTGATGCGCTATGACGCGGATGAGAACTAGCCCTCAGGCGAAGCTTTGCCCCATGAATTTTTCATGGCAGCTGCAACACGCAGGTCTACTTCTAGGGCTGGGGTTACCTGCGTGCATTCAAGCTGAGGACAATACAGAGTCAATAGCGGGTTCCAAAGGTTTTGTTTGCCCTTTGTTTGACCTCGCGAGGCTCTGTGGTAATCATTACACGGTTTTATAATGAGTGATACTCGTATCACACCCCCTTCCTACTAATAAGGCCACACCGTCTTAATTTTATGGATGACATCCTCTGAAGACACCTAAACTAGTGCGCACGGGCGAATAAAAAAAATCCGGCCAAAAAAAGAAATGTTACTAAACCACAAGAATACAAAGCTAGTATTGTGAATTCGCGGCAGTACTTAGCGACGTATACGACAAGCCGGCACATGCTGGCTTTTTGCGGAATTTATGAATGTAGAGGAACATATCATTCTATAATAATTACCAAGCACATGTAGGGTGGTAAATGTAAGGGTTATCTCCAAGCAGATGTTGCTGGCATCCGTGATCTTGCTATTGAGTCATCGTCAAGCAGATGTAGAGTGGCATACCTATAAAGTTACAGTGAAAGCCAGTTAATTGCAAAACGCTTATAAGAAAAAGTCTGCTAATTCAAAAGAATTGTGAAAACCCAAACCGTTTATCATTGGCGCCATTGTTTATCGCGCCCCTTATTTGAAAAGCCAATGCCGGCTAATTAGAAAAAAAAGTCAAGTTGCAACACATTTTCAACCAAAAACATGCAAAACAAATCACCAAAATCGGCGGAAAATTTCTTATATCAGGACATCAAGCCGCCAAAAGGGACGAAGTTGTCTGTTTGAACCACAAAGGAGGCCGAAATTTACGTTGATCGAGCGGTACCGGTCGGGCGCACATCGGCACTACGTAATGAGAAGCGCGAGCCGGTTCATAGCCGCCAAATGCGGCATGCTTTTGTGTTCTTTTTTTGGCCTGTTTATTCCAATAACGTTTAATTTCTCATACAACTCATTTTTAATCATTAAAACCGTGTCTCTACTTGTGTACTGTGCCATTATTTTGACTTTATTTCGACTGCAACACGGCGCTATCGCCGCTTCAACACACCAAATGTGCCGCGAAAAATACCGCGAAAAAATACCGCAACGATGCATCTGCTTTCCAAGCAGATGTAGAGTGGCATACCTATAAAGTTATTCCCAAGCAGATGCATGGTTGCATATGTAAGATGTACAACATTTCACAATGATAGCGCGCCGAAATGCCAGCTTTTTGTAAAAGCACTTGTTTCGGGGGGGGGGGCGTGTTTAGATAGCTCCTAGCCTCCTTGGTTGTAAAAATCAAACCGCTGCAGTTTATCATTAAGTCGTCAGATGGCGTGCTTTGTACACTCTCGCGCGCATCATAATTAACTACCCGACGTTGCTTCTTGCTTCTGCAATTTCATTATTAAAAGGGGGCCCACATGCCCTTTTCCGTATACCGTAATCGGCCGTTTTAATTCTACGTACAGCGTAGACGGACCGCCCTAATTTAACGTAGAGCGTATTTGGCGCATTTTGCGTAGAGCGTATTCTCCGTTTTAATTCTGCGTAATGCGTTGTAGCCATTTGGAATTTATCGTTAAGCGTAATGGAGAGGTTTCCGAATTCAGCGTAGGGCGTTGTCGCCCCCCCCCCCCATGCAGGCCCTCTTAAAGAGGAAAGTAACGTCTTCCGGCGTCACATGGCACACAACGTGATGACTTGATCATGACACACGTGAACCGTTGTTGTTTCTTGTATCGTTCATTCAATTTCATGTTGATAGCTTAGACTGAATTTTATGGATGACATCCACGCGCGCATTGGTTTTCGTCTGTTCTTCAAAAACAAAAGATCACGTCTGGCCTGGCTCTAGGCTGGGTAGTCCATGGTAGTTAGCGACAATACGGAGCCGGTGGTAACCCTGTAGGATGGCACCGATGGCACCAAAGCTCTACGTCGCAACACCTCATGCAGTACATACGCACAGTGCCGATTCATAGATTCCGCAAAAAGCCAGCATGTGCCAGCTTGTCGTATACGTCGCTAAGTACTGCCGCAAATTCAAAATAACTTTGTATTGATTTGTATTGCATGCTGTGGTTTAGAAGCATTTTTATTTTTGGCTTGACTTTTTTTTTATTCCCCCGCAGAGGATGTCATCCATAAAATTAAGGTGGTGTGGCCTTACCTCTGGTGATTTCCCCCCTGGGTGCATCGAATGACACAACTCGGAAATACGTTTCCTTGGTGATATGAATAACTACAATAAACAACACAGAGGCAATTTCAGCGATGGGTATACTACCTGTCACTACTTGATTACACCTTCTATTCAGCAGGTGGGCCTGCACCGTCTGAGGCCATACAAACAATTTATGGCAACAACTATTGTACACAACGTTATAGGACGAAATGGAGATATAGCCTTTATAGGATGAATCCTAACTTTACTAAAACGATAAGGGCTAGCATAATTCTTTTTTTGATACAGTGTCAGAAACGAGGTTAGCAAATCATGAGTTTCTCTAACGTCACAATTTGATCTTTTCTTCTTCGTCGTCTTTTCTTTTCAATCTCTGTCATCCTCCAAATACCCAAAGGAACAGTATGGCCGCAAACTATTCTTTGGAAATGGAAGAAAACCAATGCCCTAGCGGATGTCATCCATATAAATGAAGTCAGATGAGTGTAGCTCATGTTTAGAAACAAAATTTCAATGTGCTATCGTACGATATGAATTGAATGAAAGACCTTTATTGTACGTTTGTGCTCTAACAAGCTAAGTACAGGTCATGAATAGACAAGGAAAAGGAACAGCAATGACACTTATACCATACATACTAATGCGATCTACTATTTACATGTTCAACTTCTCGCTTCTTGACGCAGTTATAGATGTACGAGCATATAGAACTAAAAAAATACATGGTTTGTCAAATTTCATAAGAAATATGAATTAATTTTTAATCGAATTAATAATAATTCATTTACCATCTCATGTGTGTGCGCACGTGTGTTCATGGTTAATGCATGTGCGGTAGACCACTTCGCCCTATCCATGAACTACAGCGTGATTGGTACTAGTAATTGCGCGTAGAGATCCAGAGAGAACCGAATGAATGAAACTGGTCCCCGTGGGTCTTTAATGTTTTCTTCAGATAATGAAACACCAGTGATAGTGTGTGTGTGTATTGTGCGCGCGTCATAACGTGCTACACAAGGCAGACATATTACCCCTCGCAGGGCTACGAGAAGCTGAGACTAAGGCGTGGACAGAGCTGGCTGGAGAAACCAGACGGAGAGGAGCAAGGGACCAGATCCTGTCCTGTGCACTCGAGACTCTTGGCGTGGACAGAGTGGGTCTGGAGAAACCAGACGGAGGGGAGCAAGGGGCCAGATCCTGTCCTGTGCACTTAGGCAGGGAGGCAAGGAAGAATTGGGAGCCGAGCAAGATGGGCTGTGGTGAAGAGAGATACCGTAGGAGTTTCGTCTCCAGCACGATTCTCGTACTAATGATAATCGTGAGCGTGAAGACCGCTTGTGTAAGAGGAAGCGGGACTGAGGGGGCGGTCTTGAGTGCTAAAAGCCTGCCCCAGCTCCTGAGTACTGGGGAGTGGGAGGATCGGCGCAGCCTGGTCTTCGCCGGGAGGGAGATCGTGGACGTCGAGATCGGCACTTTCAACACGTGGTACAGGATTTCCGAGCTGGATATGTCCGGCAACAGGCTGGCTAGCCTCGAACCCGGCGTGTTCAAGGGCCTGCCGTTTTTACTCTGCTTGCACCTCAAGGACAATCTCCTGACGGCTGTGAACCCGGAGGTGTTCTCCCACATCCCGTCTCTCGAAGTGCTGGCGCTGAGCGGCAACAGGATCTCGGAGATATCGGAGAACGCCTTCCTCGGACTACCGAAGCTGAAGGTTCTCGACATTTCGTACAATCTGCTGAAACAGTTTCCCCTCGGACCCTTGGCCAACATCAGAATCCCATTCCTGAGGCAAGTCAAGCTGAACGCCAACAGAATCAGCACCATTCCGCCAGAACTACCAAACATGCAGACCAGAGCTAAGTACGAACTGGCGGGGAATCCTCTCCTTTGCGACTCCAATCTGTACTCGCTGAAGGAAGCGCTAACCGTGGTGGACGTCGACAACTCTCGTTACGGTCAGTTCCAGAAGTGCTACATGTACGAGGGCTGTGATGACTGCCAACGCGGAGGGTACCATCACCAGCCCTGGTGCAAGAAGCTCGCGCGGAACCCTCTCGTTGTGTCTCCTCTGACGATTTTCTACGAGGAAGGTTCCGACGTGAATCTACCCTCCAGGGTGAGGAGACCGAGCACTCGGCTGCAGTGGGTAACGCCGCAGGGAGACACGGTAGTACGTGACGATGGAGTACTGCCTGCGATTGCCAACATGTCCCAGGCAGAGAGAGGAGTCTACCGTCAGCAGATATGTGACGTGGACTTTCCGCGAGAACTCACCAAAGGCAAGAGCGGGTGTCGTCGTTGGATCGACACACTCCTGTGTCCACAGAACCCCTCGGTGACTCATACATTCACCACAAGCACCGAGATGATACAGAAGCAGGGGTTTCCGACGTCAACCTCTGATCAGAACTTATCCACAACGGCAAATCGGACGGAAGAAGGCGCCCGGATCACGTACAGGATATCTCGCTACTTCGTGGAGAAGATCACCAACAACTCCGTGTCGCTGCACTGGCTTCGCACCGCGGAACCCTCCTGTCGTGACGCTTACGTGGAGGTCAGCATAACGTCTGAAAACCTTCAGCAGAAGCGTTTGGTTTCGGCGAAAGAGGAGGTTTACAATATGACCAGGCTCAGGCCTTCCACCGTGTACAAAATCTGCGTCGTGGCATTCTCTTCGAGAAGCTGTTCATCAGAGGAAGCAATGGAGGGAGAACACTTGGGCTGTACGACCTTCAGAACAACTGATCCTCTCGATCCAAGCCAGCCGGGAGAGGGGACAGACTACAGCGGTTACGTCGTCATCAACGTCGCTGTGTTGTCGTGTCTGGCGCTGGTCGGCCTTTTCTGCCGCTATGGTAGAAAGGTGCCGGCTTTGGC